AAGAGCTGGAAGGCATTTCAGAACTGTCTTATGTAGGCCAACCCCCTCATTTGTCAGATGAGCAGATTTGAGATTCAGAAAGGGGAAGTCACACAGTAAGTCAATGACAGAATTAGGACTTATACCTAGATCTGACAGCAAGGCTAGGGCTTCTTCCTCATGACTATACTGTTCCTCTAAATGCATGGAGCTGTGAGGCGCAAGGCTTAGGGGGGTAGGAGAGACAATAGAGGAATGGGGCTACAGACCAGGGGTATAGACTAGTTGCCCCAGCTCAGGAAGGGTGCTTGGAGCAGAGGAGGCAACCCTGGAGGGTGGAGCCACTTGTAGAATTCCCTAGACTGTTTTGATTTCAAGTGTATCATCAGTGTGTCATCCAGTTACCCAGAAAGAAACTCTTATACTGGGGAATTCTAACTTGCCCCTCCCTCAGTCCTACCCCAAGGGAAAAAATAGCAGTAGAGCTGGCATTAGAATAGGAATCAGCTGACCTGGGTTGGCGTTCTGGCTTTGGGACTGCCTCAATATCCTCATCTGCCTTATGGGGATTCTCTAACAGTTGGGCAAAGAGGATGGCGAAGATGGATTAGGACCAGGTGAGAGGGAGGTCTGTGGACCTCATCTCCCCTGCCCAGCCCACCTAAGTTCAATATTTTTTGATAAGGAAGGACACTGATGCCTAAAGAGGGGAAATGATTTGCTCAAGATTACCCAAGTGAGTCAGTGATGGAGACAGGATAAAGATCTAGGTTTCCTGATGCCCACCCAGTCTAGGGCTTTCTCCATTGCATTACACATCCCAGGACAGTAGAATTAAGAGGTACGTGTTGAAGCTTGAAAGTGATAGTTCTCAAATACCTTCAGTTGCTTCCTAGTCTTCAGCATGACATTTGAGAACCTCCACGTTCTGGCCCTACGCTGCCCTCAAAGCCCATCCTCCACTGTTCCCCAGCATGTACCCTTTGCCCAGCCAGTAGGGGCTTCTTCTTGTCCTCAGAACACAGGAGATATGTTTCCTTGTCCATTACTGTGTGACCTTGGTCACACAGAACGCAGACCTTTAACTTCTCTGGATCTTGATTTCCATATCTCTAAAAGGAGGGAATTGGACCAGAAGGGTCCTTTTAGGTTCAATTCTGTGATCCAATGCCTTCCCTTCTTTTGTCTGATCCTTCCACATCTTCAGGGTCTAGCTTAAGTCCTGCTCAGGGATTGAGTTCTTCCCTGAGCTTCTAGAGTCAGCCATTCCATCGGTTAGCATTTATTCAGTACTTACTATGTGCCAGACACTGTGCTGAGCTCTGGGGATGCAAAGGAAGATCAGCAGTCCATGTTCTCAAGGAGCTCACAGTCTAACGGAAGAGACAACATACAAATAACAATGTACAAACAATCTATAGGCAGGATACGTTGAGGGTGGTCTCAGAAGAGAGTATTAAGATTAAGGAGGACTGGGAAGGCTTCCTGTCAAAGGAAGCCAGGGAAACTAACGAGAGCAAGACAATTCCAGGGATGAGAGACGGCCAGGGAACGTGCTTGAAGTCAGAAGATGGTGTGTGCCTTGTGCTAGGAACAGCAAGGAGGCTGTCACTGGATTGGAGAGTATGTGAAGGGGAGTTAGGAGTAAGAAAACTGGAAGAGTAGGAAGAAAACAGGTTAAAAAGGGCTTTACAAGTCAAACGGAGGATTTTATATTTGATCCTTCAGATGATAGGGAGCCATTGGAGTTTTGGAGTTTATTGAATAAGAGGGATGACTGGGTTTTTTTTCCTGTTCATAGGATATTAAGCCTAGATAACCTGGCCTTGTTAGTGATCTTTTCTTGGATGTAATTTTTCTCTTTCTCTTCCAAGACCCTATTTTTCCACTCACCACTTTCATCCCCTGCCCAGAGCAGGTGCTCAGTAAATGTTTGCCAATACATTGTTTGCCCACTGGAAGCAAAGTCCAAAGACATTCAGGTCACAATGGGGCATCATCTCCTGTGTCCTACTGTCCTCTGTTAGATGTTATGGCTTTTGCTCCTCTAACTTGAGCTCCTAAAAACCAGAAACTCATCTTATTTATCTTTATATCTCTGCAGCACAGGACTGGGCAGGTAGTTGTAGTTCAGGAAATACTTTAAAAGGTAGTGACCTTAGAAGGTAGCGTGTGGAGCTGGACAGGACGTTGGAGGCTGTTGAATGTACTTCCTTCATTTTATTGGGAAGGGGAGAATAATAAACTGCACCTGACATTGTTACAGCGCTTCAGGGTTTGTGGGGCCCCTTACAAAGGACCTCGTAGCAGTCTTATGATCTTAGATTTAGAGCTAGAAGGACCTCAGAGGTCATCCAGCCTAATGCTTTTAGTTTGCAGATAATAAAACTGTGAGGCCCACAGAATTTCAGTGAGTTACCAAGGATTACCTAGCTGGTGTCAGAGGCAGATTTTGAACACAGGGCTTCCCGATTCCAAGTCCATTGCTCTATCCACTGTACCACAAGTATTACTATCCCATTTCACAGCTGAGGAAACTTGAGACACAGAAAGATTTGTCTGTGGCCACACAGCTATAAGTATCAGAGGCAGGATTTAAACTTGTGTCTTTCCAGACTCCAGACTCTTTCTCCTTACTACACTAGGCTGCTGGATAAATGACTTGCCCAAGACTGTGCACCTAATTTGTGTTACAGCTGGGACTAGAACCCAGATCTCTTAGTCTGAGCACAAGGCTCTTTCAATTTACACCTGGCTCTTGCCTACTTATAATCTTTGAACTGGAAGGATTCCCACTTTATCTCAGGGACAAACACATGGAATTCATTCTCCTGAGGGTGGTACAGGCTGGAAATAAAAGCATGTTTTATAAAGCAGTGTAAAGTTAAAAGAACCCTGGATTTGAAATCAAAGGACCTATGTTTGAATCCTACCTCTGTTACTTACAGCGCATTGACCGTGGGCAAGGCTCTGGACCTCTATGGGTCTCAGCTTCATCATCTGAAAAGTGAATAGACTAGATGTGGCTTGACCTCGATGACTGCCAAGGTTCCTTTCTCCTCTGAAGCCCATGACTCTAATGATTTTGATAAGTTCCTGGATGGCAGTCTCTAAGGGATAAATAAGGGAAGCTTTAGATGTTTGAGTCTTATACTGGCAAGTTGGTATCCAGGAGAAAGACCCAGTCTTGACCACCCACTGGGTACTCTTTGGTGACTTTACCAGAAAATTGGTCCTGCCTGAGGCATCCTATTTCTATAGCCACTTCAAGGCTTTCAGTCTTTCACAAGAACCCTGTGAAGGAAGGAGTGCAAGTATCATTCCCACCTTACGGATGAGGATATAGAGTCTCATAGGGATGAAGTGATTTGCCCAAGATTATGCTGTTTGTGTCTAAGACCCTGAAGAACTCAAGACCCCTAAATTCCCAATCCATTTTTTCCCCTATTACAATGCCCTGCCTGCTTCTGCTAGCATGTGAGCTGGTGGTGAAGGGTGATCCTGTCCAGAGAGGACAGGGGAGGAGAAGAAGATGTGGATCGATTTCCTCTCGGGACCTTTGGTTGGAAAAACCTGGCAGCTCAGGTTCCAGGTTGACCCCATCTGTGCCCCAGGGGTGGGTGGGCATGTTGGTGATCAATTCAGGGCTGACTCATAGTTGGGGGAGAAAAGAGAGACACATCCCTGCTGAGTCACCTTCCTGCCTACTTGTTTTCCTATGTAGCTGGCCCAGGGTCTGGCCCATAGGGATAAGGATATGGGATTGGGTTCCCTTCTGGCCCACCTTGTTCCATTATTCTCCCAGGAACAGATGGTTGTTTGGCACGAGGGGTGGGGGTGGTAGGTCCGGCCCCAGAAGTTTCTTTGCTTCAGTGCCATTGTTAGGATTCATAGGTCTGACTCTGCTCTGTTGGGAATTATTTGAAAGAACACTAGATTTGCAAATCAGACCTGGATTTGTGTCACAGCTCTGCCATTCACTCACTGTGTAACCCTGTACAATTCCCTTTGCCTTCCTGAACCTCAGGGTCACAGTTTGTAAAATAGCTTAATATTATCTGCCCAATGTCACTTTATTAACCTAAAGTTAATATATGATGAAGAGGTAGGAAAACAACAATAGCAGTAATATATGTTAAGGTATTATAGAAATGGGAGCTATTATTATTAACTGTTTACTGGATGATCAGCCTGCACACTCTTCCCTGCCTCCATCATCCCTGTGTCCCTTTCTCTTTCCCTCCCTCATCCTGAGACAGGGTTCTTCCCTCCCCTCTGGGCAGAAGCAGAGAGAAGAGGACCAGCTTGGGGTTCCAGTGGCACAGGGGAAATCAGTGCATCAACCAACAAGTCGACATTTATTAAGTGCCCACTGTGTGCCAGGCTATACAGACAAGAGTGAAACAATTTTTGCCCTCTTGAAAGAGGGTGGGGGGCTCCTGTCTGCACCAGCAGGCTGTGTTTTGGTGTGGGGAGACAGGATCTGAGAATCTCAGAGCTGAAAGGGGCCTTAGACACTCTCTAGTTCCACCTTTTGCCTGATACGGGAATCCCCTCTAGGGTATCCCTGGCAGATGGTCACCCATGCCTCTATCCGCCCTCTCCTGAGGATAATAACAACAGCTTACATTTCTATAGCATTTTATAAAGTATTCTCCTCTCAACAGTCTTGTGGGGTAGATAGTACAAGTATGATTTTCTCCATTTTATGGAAGTGTAAACTGAGGCTCAGACAGGGGAAGTAACTTGTCCAAGGTCTTATAGAGAGACATTATAAGAACCAGAATCTGTCTCCTGATTCTGACTTCAGGCTGCCCTTTCTGCCTCATCATCTCGTTCTGTGGTTCCTTCCCAGCTCTGACCTTCTGTGTTCCAAATGGCCATCCATCCCGTTCTGCTCCATGCTCCTGGATCATGAGCCTTTCCTCAGACTCAGGATCCCTTGGGTTGGAGCTTCAGGAGAACTCCTCCTGGAGGTGGGGCTGGATCTAAGTGCTCAGATGTCTCCGCCCTATGTGGGCCTTCCCCATGCCTGGGTCATGGCTGATGGCAGGCTCTTGCAGCTAGTTACCAGGGGCCCTCAGCTCCTCCCTCAGCATTCTGGGCTCCGTGGCAAGGCTGTGTGTGTAGAGCAGGGGCTCCCTCCCATTCCCTGGTCCCTTCTCAGGTAACACCTGGGCCAAGGCAGCTCAGCTTCCCTGTGGATGGCAGCAGGAAGTTGTGGGTTACCTGAGCTCCAGGGGAGCCAGCTCCGAGCAGGGCAGAGCAGAGAGGGGCAGGCAGCTGGAGAGAGTACGGACAGGTACGTGGCTGACTTCAGACCTGGAATGCCTGGGACTCCTTGGGGGTGTGGAATCTTGAGGTACAGGTGAGCCCTGGGAGGATGGGCTTGGAGGTTAAGGGGAGTATTTATGCTGGGACTGTTTTGACACGGCCCCCCATCCCCCGGGCCAGTGCTACTAATGCCTTAGTGACAACGGTCCTGAGGTTTTTGGATGAAGATGCTTGTTTCTTTCCTTCCCTCTCCTTACCCCCCCCAGCAGAATTTCATTCTCCACCTGAGGCAGAGGCTGAGGAGGAAAACTGAGACATTTATATATGTGTATATATGGGTGCAGAGGAGGGAAGTCTGGGTTCTGGGTAATAAAAGCTGGTCAGGGCCTGAACCAGGGGGCCTTTGTTAATTTTGCTGGTTCTGGCAGATAAGGAGGGACTGGGGCAAGAGTGAAATAGTTCCAGCAAGAGGCCCCCCACCTCCCCCTAACCCTTCCTCAATGTGAGGAGCTGTACTCCAGGACCCTGTGGGACCTGGCTCCCAGGGCCCTTTAGGGAGAGATGGGTTGGCTCCTCTGGGTAGGGGATAGAGGGTGTCTGTGGACTAGGTTCTGGGGACATTTCCCTTGTCTGATGAGCCATTCATCCTGCTTGCCCTGAGTCACTCACTGGGGCTGTGCCAGCAGATTTGGGCGCATCATTTGAAAACCCGTCACAACTAGCTGTTGGCTAGACTTCAGGGCTGGGCATGGAGACAGATTCTGAACAAATCCCCTTGCTGTGAACTTTGACACTTAGAATCATGGGATTAAGTCTTTAAAGGGACCTTAGAAATCACCTAGTTAAATTCTCCCATTTTATAGATGAGGAAACTGAGGCCCAGCGGGGGCAAGATGCTTGCTCAGAGTTATACAGCTCGCAGTAGCAGAGACAAGATTCAGATCCAGATTTTGGCTTCCATTCTAGAGCTCTTTCCCTTACAGTGCCCTCCCTGTCTCTTGAGGGAGGGTTAATATCTCCTTACCTTTCAGAGCTTCAGTTTCCTTGTCTGTAAAATGGGACAAATTATATATGCTATCTAATCACATGCTTAGGGTGCTTGAAGATTCAGAAAGAACTGATGTTTTAGAATCTTGAGCGAGGATCAGAAGTCCATTTTTATACTCTATTAACCAAGAGGTTTCTTCAGTTTGAGGCCAAGGTAAGGTTTTTTCCAATGGCTTCCCTGTCTAGGCTTCTATTGAGATAGCCCCTAACCAGGGGTGCCTGAATCTTTGTTATCCCCATTCTCTTGGAGTAAAGTGCTGGGATCACGCTCTTTGATGAAAATGAGGGATTTGTGAGGACAGCAGAATTATAGGAACTGAGCTGGCCCATCTGCAGGGGGTGGAGTACTGTGGCCCTTGGCATCTGTGACCTCCTTCCCAGGGAGTAAGCTCTTGCCGGCAACAAGTCTGACTGGTTTGCAGGCCTCTCCCCCACGAGCCAGTTCTGGGAGGTGCCTGTGTGAGCTCCCAACGCCTGGGCAGGAGGAGGGAGGGAAGAAGGAAAGAAGGCTAGCAAGTATTGGGAAGAGGGCACATTTCTAGTAGCAAGTCATTAGCCAGGGGGTTGGAGCTGTCAGGAGGGGAAGGTGACTTTCCTTGAGCTGGCTAGCTTGTGTCCAGTTCACTTCAATCAGCATTTATTAAGCATCTGCTATGTGCCAGGCCCTATGGATTTTTGTTGTTGTTTAGTCATTTCAGTCATGTCTGACTCCTCATGACCTCATTTGAGGTTTTCTTGGCAAAGATACTGGAGTGGTTTGCCATTTCCTTCTCCAGCTCATTTGACAGATGAGGAAACTGAGGTAAACAGAATTAAGTGACTCCCCCAGGGTCATACAACTAGTAAGTGTCTGAGGCTGAATTTGAACTCAGGTCTTCCTGACCTGGGGCGGGACATTCATTATGGGCGCAAGTAAGTGAATACAAAGTAATAACATAATAACATTATATATAACAAAAATATAATAATATTAATAACATTAAAAGTAAAAACATTAAAAGGACGGACCGAGGGCTCAGGTAGGGCCCAAGCAGAGTATCTTGGGGTTTAGGCCCCTCTTGTTTCTCACCCGTCATACTGAGATCCAGAGGGGTGAAGGGTCTCCTGACTCTCAGAAAGAATTCATGGAGAGAACCATTCTTTCTGTCACCCAACTTCTTCCTCTCTCCCTCTCCCTGGTTCTGAAGCTGGTGATCCTCTCTCCCAACCTTAGGGTCTCCTGTTGCTTGTTTCATCTCACAAGCATTTATTAAGCACCTACTATGTGCTTGGCCCTGTGCTAGAGAGACAGTGGAAAAAATAGACTATTCACTGAGAGATGCTTCCAGTGTCAGCCCCTTAGGCCTGGGTGTGTAGAGGCCAAGGCTTCTTCCCTCCCCACCAACACACACATACAAACACACTCCAGCCAGCTATCTCTG